AGTGCACTGACCACCAGGGGGCAGCTCCTGCATTGAGCATCTGCCCCTTGGTGGTCAGTGCACATCATAGCGACCGGTTGTTCCTCAGGTCATTTCGCCATTTGGTCAATTTGCATATTAGGGTTTTATTATATAGGATATGCATAGCCCATGGACACAGGCAATAGGGTGGTGAAGACCTGGGGGTGGTGGTAGTGGCTAGGAGGAGGGAAAGGAGGGAATGAAAGATATCTATGATATTATCAACAATAAAACTATATTTAAAAATAAACAAAAAACATAAATAAATTAAAAATGTGCTCATGGCCAGTGTGGTTCAGTGGTTAGTGTTGGCCCTCACACTGAAGGGGTTCAATTTGCAGTCAAGGTCCAATTCCCAGCCCTGGCTGAGGCATGTGTGGGAGGCAACCAGTCAATGTGTCTCTCTCACATCCATATTTGTCCCTCTTTCTCCTCTCTCTCTATCTCCTCCTCCCCTCTCCCTTCCACTCTAAAAAAAAATAATAATAATCAATAGAAAAAATATCCTCAGGTGAGGATTAACAACAACAACAAAAAAATGTGTACACCAATTCCACTCCTAGGCATATAACCAATGAATGTGAACTTTAAAATGTCCCTCAAAAGATTGTTTATAGCAGCATTGAAAGCAACCCACACTGCCATCAATAGAGGAATGGATACATATATTGTGGTATATTCATGCAATGGAAGGTAACCAGCAATAGAAAAGAAAGGGCTGCAGCTAAACATGACATGATACAAGGTTGAACAAAAGGAACCAGCACACGAGTATATTCTTTATGATTCCATTTATCCTAAACTCAGAAACAGGCAAAACCAATCCATGGTGATAGAGGTCAGATTAGCACATTATCTTGGAGGATGGGTATCAACAGACAAAACATGAGAGGCAGGGTTGGGAATGTTCCACGGCAGCCTATACCTATCCAGGTGGAGGTGAGGTGACAAACGTGTGTAACCATGCACAATTTATTGAGTTGTACACTTTAGTTTTTGCAAGTTAAAGTTCAATTTAAAAAATTTTTAATGGAAATAAAATTTATATATCCTTTGCTCTAGTGATTCAATTTCTGACATTTTTTATAACGTATTTACACATGGAAGATATTATGAATGTACAAGATTATTTATTGCAGCATTTATTGTAAGAGCTAAAGATTATAAAAAAACTAAATGTCTATCAATAGGGGCTGGTTAAATAAAACACAACTCCTCTTAGCCGTGCAACATGACACAGTCATGCAAAAGCAGAAAAGATCGCCAAGAA